GTGGTAGGGGAGAAAAGCAAAAACAGAAAGATAAATTGGTTAGCATTTCACATCTAAGCATTTAAATGAGTCTGTTTGGAGTTATTGAACACACCCAACTTGGAACTCACACATCATGATTCACATTACTTCCCTATTTCCCATTTTTTTATTCCTCCAAAAATCAAAATATCCCAAATTATAAATATAGTACATCCTAACTTCGCCATTATCTAATTTATCAAACCATTTTTTTCTCTTTTCATTTTTATTATATTGGTATCTAATTCAATTACTACATATATACCGGTGGAGACAATAACTCCCCTGAACATTTTCATACATGTATATAAATAGACATGATCTTCACATTACTCTTATGTCTATCTGCTCATTTCCTCATAGAAATCAAAGTGAGTGAAAAACTTTCCTTAAAAGCATAAATCACTCAGTGGAAATCAAAAGATCGAGGCTAATGGTTTCTAGACAAGAAGGAACCTTCAACTCTAGAAAGAGGGATTTCACAATCTATGGAGAAGATTTCCACAATTCATTCAAAAAGACCAAACAAGAAGATCAATCACATGGCAACAAACTTCAGACCACTCTGTTCAATGAAAGACCAAACTCAGAGAGTATGAGATCAATTACCTTTGACTTTGAACTTCACCTTCACAATCATCTACCTTCAAAATCACAAGAAGCTAAGGTAATATATATTCACATACGTATTAAGTATATTGTAAGCACATGAACATGCATCTAAAGCATGGATCTTTATATTTTCAGGGCTATTCAAGAACATCTGAAGATCAAAGGACATACCAAAAAGATCCAGTGATTGTTGGACGACCAAAGATGAGTCTAGATCTTGAGCTGAACCTTTCACCTTCTTATTCACCTTCAGAAACTACAACTAGAGATGAGTCCTCAAATCACAACGAAACCGAGTCATCAAAGGGTAAAAACTTGACGAACCCGAGTAAGAAGAGCATAACTGGGACAGGGTTAGGCCGATCTTCGTCCTGGCTTGCGTTTGAAGGTGATGATGTTGATCACAAGGAGCAAGAGATGGTGACAAAAGTATGCATGAAATGTCACATGCTGGTTATGTTGTGCACATCAACTCCTGTTTGTCCTAACTGCAAGTTCATGCACCCACATGATCAAAGCTCTACAAAACTGTTTAAACCATCAAATTTGCTTAGGCTACTATGCTAGGCTCTTTCAGTGTTACTACTGAATCTGTGATACTTGTACGAAAGAATATGAACCAGAAGAGACTACTAGATTATATGGACAAAGTTATGTATATATACTACAAGTACCAAAAAGTTTTTATTCTATGCTTCTATGAAACCATATTCAATTTCTTTGTTCATGCTTGGAATCTCTCAAACTACTAGTAATTTCATTGAATTGTACGTGGCATAACACGGACACGGAATTATATATCTATAAGAATTGCATTAAAATATACTATATAAAAACTACTGACTATAGCTATGTTCAAGGTCAGATAAACAAGAGTTTGACTAGAAAACCTGAGTGTAGTCATTTTCGATTATATAACCGCAGGAGAAAAAGAGTTAATTTGAAACTATTGATGGTTTTGTAGCAAGCCACGATGCTTTTGTTTCGGGACTATTGACAAGTCTTCATAGCAAATGAATGTGTTTACTTAAAGCTGAAACATAGCATAAAGCTAATATGATCAGACAGAGAGTTCAAGTAAGGGAAAATCATACCACAAGGAGTCATGAACCAGAGAAGCTCCATCAAAAGCTCGTAACACTTAAAATTGTTCACAGGTGGGGAACAAGATCAAGATGAAACCTGGTAAACAAATTAACATTATACACAGATTAGTTATCCAATAAGGTCTTGAAAATGTAATCTAGCATTAGTAACCGGTAAATAGTGGCTTGCTTTGCTTAATTCTCTAACTACTTCATTTGGAGTACATAGCCTGTGTATAGTAATTAAACAGATGCAAACAAAAAAGCATGAGCATCACAAAAGGTGAATAAACAGCAGATCCATTTGTAGTATTGAAATAGGGGAAGGTGTAAGAGTAATACTCCCAAATTACAGTCTCATACTCTAATAATGTATGAAGAAATGCCAAATTATGGATCGACACTAACCCAGTTTCTGAGTGCATTCAGAAGCAGCAACATCTATAAAAAACTAAAATTCCTCTAAAGCAAAACCTAACAAACGCAAACGATCTATCATCTATCTCTTCTGATTTCTTCGACAGAATAACTGTAATTAGGCAGACTAACCTACGAGGAAATTAATTGGGGAAGAAACGAATCGGTAGTAGTAGCTTACGAGGAGAAACTGAGAGAGATTTCGCGGTTAACGGAGCAGATACTTTACCAGCGACCACGGCAAACAGAGGATTCATCTGGCCGGCGACTATTCCAATCGATTTTCGTTGCCTTTTCCAGATTCCGATCAGGTTTCGCAATATTTGTTTTCTAGGAATTTC